ATCCTATTTGTTAAAAAAAACAAAAAAAAAAAAAACAAAACTGTAGTATGAGTTTTTATAACTGCTTATTGTTGTTGCTGTTGTCCATTGTTGTCATCTTTCTTTGTTGAAATCAGGTCTCTCTTGTAAATGAGTCCTCGAGGCTCAATGGGATTTACCTGTATAAATAAAGGTTGATTGATATGGGTCGCATAACAAATTTTATTGCATATATAAACCAAGTTGTGCAAATTTGTCAACATCAAGAATGCCTGAGGCAGAATTCCAACGCCTGTCAGTCACTAGCTCATATAGTTTACTTTTTTTAATGCAAGAAATGCTCTTTGTGGTTAGCAGGTCCAGGCAGTTGGTGGAAAAGTGTGCACGTTGAGTTCTCTCAGAAACTAAAAAAAAAAAAACGGTTACACGAGAAGCCATAAAGGGTACATTCTTCTCTATCAGAGGAGCTTTATGTGTAAAATATTCAGGCAGGCGGGTCACGTGACCCCTCCAGCACCGGCGGTCCGGGGAAGAGTGAGGGGTGTCGTGAAGCCACACGCGCAGCTTTCTGGTGCAGTATTGGCCCACTGCACGTGAGAAAAGTTCAAGCAAAGCTCGGATGCGCCAAAATCAGAGGCAGCAGTCACTTTGCGACAGGCGGGGTACACCCTGCACAAGTCGGAAGACCATCACAGCCAAACCTTTTTCTAATTTGTGTTTTCTTGATATTTGAGTGAAGTTTCAAACTCAAATCTTCGCTCGATCTCCTGGCGGGTTGTGCGTAAAAGGAGGGCGATGTTTCCGCGGCGCGTCGTTGGAGCCGCGCGTCCGCGTCCACAATGAGGCTGCGCGGCACGCGGTGCGGACACACACAAGCAGGAGGCGACGCGTCCACACGAGGATCAGAGAGGTTTCACTCGACCGCACCGAGAGGACAGCAGCAGGTTTGTTACACCCTCCATCACATCTGTCTCTTTTCTGACAGGAAGTGGCTCTAAGCTCCTAGAAACCGAGCATCCGGCGCATAATGGAGCTTCAGAAACACCCGCGCGCCTGTTTGCTCGCTGCTTCACTCTGTGATGATCGAGGAAATGTGGAAGCTTTAGGTCTATTTCTTACACATTTGACTTTTACATTAAAATACTCTTTTTCTAATTCAGTTTTGAAGAAAAAAAAAGCGCCATGCTCTCATTTCTAGTATCAAATCATCCATTCAGTCGGATGTTGGAGAGGAATTGAGCGCCCCCTCCCCCCTAACTGACTGGATGCGTTTTGAATGAAACCACACACACAGATGGGGGTCAGAATGACAAGACCCAGAGAATAAATGTGATGCTTCTGCAGTCTTTAATCTAATTTACAGTATGATAAACTGAAGTGTGTTGACTTATAGTCAGGTTGTCCTAATGCTTCAGAGACTCTTGAAAATAAAGTCTGACAGTTTGACAGCTGTGGTGTATTAAAGCTCCCATAATTAGGACAGTTTTTGCTGAAGGACACACTTCAAGTCTTCATCTACTCAAAAACCATGTATTTTATTATGTGTTTTGTATTAAAAAAAATCACTGTATGGGCAGTGTCAAACAAAGTGTGTGTTATTTTATTGCCTGCCAAAGAAAGATGAAAGATGGTATATCTTTTTTTGTTTGTTTGTTTCACATCAAAACCCAGTCTTATCAATGGATAAGTGGTGGCTGTGGCTGAGTGCTTAGAGCAGTCGTCCTCCAATGCAAGAGTTGAGGGTTCAAATCCACCAGCAGTCACATGTTGAAGCGTCCCTGGGTAAGACACTGAACCCCTCATAGCCTCTGATGTGTGTCCCATCAGTGTATGAATGTGATCTAAAAGCACTGATTAGTCTCTTTAGAATGATGTGTTCAATTAGCTTTGTAGCGATGCAGAGTGCTGTATGAATGGGTAAATGAGGACACAGATTGTAGTGTAAAGCGCTTTTAGTATTTTGAAATAAGATAGAAAGGTGCTATATAAGTATAGTCCATTTACCATCCATACATCCATTTTCTTTACCCGCTAATTCCTTTTTGGGTCACGGGGGTCGCTGGTGCCCATGTCCAGCAATCACTGTGCGAGGGGCGGGGTACACCATGGACGGGTCGCAAGTCCATCACAGGGCCACATAGAGACAAACGAGACAAACAACCATTCACTCTCACTCACACCTAGGGACAATTTAGAGTTACCAATCAGCCTAACATGCATGTTTTTGGTCTGTGGGAGGAAACCGGAGTACCCGGAGAAAACCCACGCATGCACGGAGAGAACATGCAAACTCCACCCAGAAAGGCCCCTGGACCGGGGTTTGAACCAAGGACTTGCTCGCTGAGAGGCAGCAGCTCTACCAGTTGCGCCACCGTGCTGCCCTAGTCCATTTACCATTATTAATAATCATTCATATAATATTTATTATTATTAATATATTAATAATAGGGCAGCACTGCCCCTTTTCCATTAGTACCGGTACGGGCCGACTGTACCCTACTTGGCCCGGTTCTGAGGCTTTTCCATTAGTACCGGTACTTAGCACCTGTTACTATTTTCAGTACCCTTGGCTCTGTGGTTCTAACCGGAACGAAGAGGTACTAAAACGTGACGTGAGAACACTGTCGGTCACTGATTGGTCAGGGGCGGAGTCGGGGGCGGAGTCACTGGATCCTTCAGAAACTTTTCAAAACAATAATCCGCCATTTGCAATTTCTCGGACTGGAGCAGCGGCTGGACTTATTTTAAAGATTTTAAAAACAATACTGACAACATCTTGGTCTAATGCTGATGTGCTGGCATTTTTTGTGCTTGGTGGCCGACAACATAATTCAGAGCAAGCTGGATGGAGCTCTGCTGGTGTACCCCGATCCTCCCTCCGGAGCCTCGGAGCGCCAGGCCGGGCAGTGCGTCACCTCTCCGGCTCCAAGTTCAGCTGGTCACCGCGGAAGATCCTTCGATGTGCCGACTCGGAGGCTCGGGTTCCGGATACCAGCCTTGTGTGCTCAGAGCTCCGCATGTCACTGCAAAGCTGGAGATGGGGACTCACCCCGGCCGCTCGTAATCATGAAGGCTGAATCTCGATCCCACCTGGCAGTCAGGCGGACTGGACAGTCTGGGACGCACGCTGGAAGCGATTTTTAAATAAAATAATATTTTGTTTTTATACAAAAAATGTTTTAAAAAATTGCTGAAGCGATTAAAAAATGATTATTATTTTTTTACACGTAAAATGTTTTTTAAAATCGCTTCCACCGTTCGTTGCAGACCCGTCTCTGTCCGCCTGTCTGTGCGGGTCGAGCCTTCATGATTACGCGTGGCTGGGGTCTTGGAACGGCCTCTGTCAGTCACCAGCTGAGCTCGGAGCTGGGAAGATGAGCCTACCCGTCCTGTCTCTGGAGGAGAGGATCGTGTGAGACCAGCAGAGCTG